GTGTTGGCAATTTGATGGGAATTGCATTAAATCTGTAGATTGCTTTTGGTAAGATGGCCATTTTTACTATGTTAATCCTGCCAAGCTATGAGCATGAGAGATCTTTCCATCTTCTCATATCTTCTTCTAATTCTTTCTTCAGAGACTTGAAATTTTTTTCATACAAGTCTTTGACTTGCTTGGTTAGGGTTACACCAAGGTACTTTATGTCATTTGTGGCTATTGTGAAGGGTGTTGTTTCCCTAATTTCTTTCTCAGCCCTTTTGTCTTTTGTATACAGGAGTGCTACTGATTTTTTTGAGTTAATTTTTATCCGGCCACTTTGCTGAAGGTGTTTATCAGCTGTAGGAGTTCCCTGGTGGAGTTTTTGGTGTCACTCATGTATACTATCATATCATCTGCAAATAGTGATAATTTGACTTCTTCCTTTCCAATCTGTATCCCCTTGATATCCTTGAAGTGTCTAATTGCTCTAGCAAGGAAAGCCACAATTCTTATTTGTTGATTCCTGGTGTTGTTTTATTTTAGTTCATTAATTTCCACTTTGAGTTTTATTATTTCTTGTCATTAACTGGATCTGCGTTTGGTTTCTTTTTATTTTTCCAAATGTTTGAGTTGTACCATTAAGTCATTGATCTGTACTTTATCTGTTTTTTTTTTTAAATGTAGTACTTAGAGCTATAAAATTGTCATGTAGAATTATTTTTAATGTGTCCCCAGGTTTTTGTGTTGTGTTGTATTTATTTAGTTATAGAAAATCTTTTTCATTTCTGTCTTGATTTGTTCTTTGACCCATTCATCATTCAGTAATGTGTTTAATTTCCATATGTTTGTGTATTTCCTAGAGATATGTTTGGAGTTGCTTTTAAGTTTTATTATATTATAGTCATACAGGATACACTGAGTTATTTAAATCTTTCAGAATTTGTACACATTTGTTTTGTGTCCCAGAATATGATCTATTTTAGAGAAGCTTCTGTGCATAGCTTAGTAGACTCTATATTCTTTGGTGTTTTGGTGAAATATTCTATAGGCTTCTGTTAAGTTCATTTCATAGATGATGTCATTTAAATTTGATATTTCTATGCTTATTTTTTATTCTATTGGAGAAACTAGGGTATTGAAATCAGCTAATACCAATGCATTGGTGTTAGTGTGTGTCTTTAATTCCAGTAGTACAGTTTTTATACAATTGGATGCACCAAAATTTGGTGAATATATGTTTACAATAATAATGTGTTTTGGTTAGCTGTTTTCTGATTACAGTGAAGTATTTTTCCTCATTTCTTCTGCATCATATTTGTTTAAAGTTTATTTTGTCAGATATTAGTATAACAATGCCTACTTGCCTCCTAGTTTCATTTAATTGGAGTATTATTGTCTATCCTTTATATAAGTGCCTATCTTTATTTATTTTTTTAATATTCCTAGAAGCTTTTTTCTTTTTTATAATAATTTTTATTTTTTTATATTAATCACAGGTTATTTACTATGTATCCCAGCTGTAGTCTCATCCCTCATTCCTTCCCAATGCTGCCATCCGTCCCTCATCTCCTCCAAGCCCCTTTCCAAGTCCACTGATAGGGGAGGACCTTCTCCCCTTCCATCTGACCCTAGCTTATCAGTTCTCTTCAGGACTGGCTGTAATGTCCTCTTGTAGCCTAGCAAGCCTACTCCTTTCTCAGGGTGGAGAGGGGTGTCAAAGAGCCAGCCATTGAATTCATGTCAGCAATAGTTCCTGTTCCCCTTACTAGGACACCCACTGAGATACTGAGCTACCATGGGCTATATCTGAGGAGGGGTTCTAGGTTATTTCCATACATGGTCCTTGGCTGGAGAAACAGTCTTATAAAAGACCCCTGTGCCCTGATATATTTGGTCCTTGTGGAGTTCCTGTCCTCTCAGACAATTAGGAATAGTGATTCCTCAAGATCCAGCCTATACCACTCCTAGGCATATATCCAAAAAAATGCTCAAGTACAAAACAAGGACATTTCCTCAACTGTGTTTGTAGCAGCTTTATTCGTAATAGTCAGAACCTGGAAACAACCTAGATGTCCCTCAGTTGAGGGATAGATACAGAAATTGTGGTACATTTACACAATGAAATACTACTCAGCAATTAAAAACAAGGAAATCATGAAATTTTCAGGCAAATGGTGGGACCTCAAAATGACCATCCTGAATGAGGTATCCCAGAAGGAGAAAGACACACACAGTATTTACTCACTTATAAGTGGATTCTAGACCTATAAGATCGGATAAACATACTAAAATCTCTACACCTAAAGAAGATAAACAAGAAAGAGGACCCAGGGTAAAATTATCAATCTTCATTTAGAAAGACAAATAGGATGGACATTGGAAGTAGGAGAAAACAAGTAATAGGACAGGAGCCTACCACAGAGGGCCTCTGAAAGACTCTACCCAGAAGGGTATCAAAGCAGATGCTGAGACTCATAACCAAACCTTGGGAAGAGTGCAGGGAATCATAGGAAAGAAGGGGGAGTTAGTAAGTGCCTATTTTAAATCTAAGATATGTTGCACATAGACAACAGATAGATGAAATTATTATTATTATTATTATTATTATTATTATTATTATGTTTCTAGAGACAGGGTTCTTTGTTTGGCCTTGGTTATCTTGGAACCTGCTCTGTAGAACAGGCTAGCCTCATTCACAGAGATCCACCTGCCTCTGCCTCCTCAGTGCTGGAATTAAAGGTTGTGCTACTACTGCCTGACATGATTTTATTTCTTGATTCATTCAGCCAGCCTGAATCATTTGATTGGAGAATTGGGACCATTAATATTAGAAGGTATTATTGAAGTGCATACGTTGTTTTTAGTAATGTGTTGTTGATTTCTGGTGTTGTTTGTGCTCTCAGTGGTACTTTGTACTTTAGTAATCATAGCTTCAAATTTCTTTCTCCATCTCTTAGCTCTGTTCACCCATCTCTCTTCAGTCTGAAATATTGCCTCCCTTAATTTCTTTAGGTTTGGTTTTTTGGATATAGTTTTATAGGCTATTTATATTATAGAATTTTCCCCCCAATCAGGTATGGTAGATAGTTTTACTATCAGTATTAATCTAGATTGTCTGTTGTGGGTTTTTAGGATTTGATATGCAGTGACACAGACTTTTCTGGCATTCATGTTTCCATTGAGAAATCAGCTGTTATTCTGATGGGTGTTCCTGTATGTGTGACTTGTGTTTCTTCTCCTGATGTTTTCAAATTTTTTGTATACTTAATGTTTTCATTAAAATATGGCATGGAGCAGAGTGCAGGGAATCTTATGAAAGATGGCGAGAAAGACCTGGAGGGGTCAGGAGCTCCACAAAGGGAGCAACAGAACCATAAATTTTGGACACAGGGGTCTTTTCTGAAACTGATACTCCAACCAAGGACCACACATGGAGATAACCTAGAACCTCTGCACAGATGTAGCCTTTGGCAGCTCAGTCTCCAAGTGGGGTCCCTAGTAAAGAGAACAGGGACTGTCTCTGACATGAACTCAGTGCTGGTTCTTTGATCACTTTCCCCTGAGAGGGTGCAGCCTTGCCAGGCCACAGAGGAAGACAATGCAGCCAGTCCTGATGAGACCTGATAGGCTAGATCAGAGGGAAGGGGTAGGACCTCTTTTATCAGTGGGCTGAGAGATGGGCATGGGAGGAGAAAAGGGAGGGATGGTCAGGTTGGGAGGGGATAAGGAGGGGCTATAGCTGGGTTGCAAGGTTAATAAATTGTAATAAATAAAAAAGAAAAGAAACAGCAATAGTTGAAAGGTTAAAAAAAGACATCAGCATTATTGTGTACTTAGTAATAAAATCATTTAAATTAAAAAAAAATATGCCATGAAGAGTTTCTTTTCAGGATTTTTCTATTTGGTGTTCTCTGTGATTCCCGTATCTTCTGTATGGGTATGTCTTTTCTTGATTTGGGCAAATTTTCTTCTATGATGTTGTTGGAGAGTTGGTCTATGTCATTGACCTGGGCTTTTTCTCCCTCATCTATTTCTCAAATTTGAAATTTTGGTCTTTTCTTCGTGTCCCACATCTCCTGGATCTTTCTTTACTGTATTTTCCCACATATTCTTTGCTTATTTCATATACTTTATCTTCAAGTCCTCATACTGAATCTTCTGCTTAATTCATTCTACTTGTAAGTCTGTTCTTTGAGTTTTTTAGTTCAGTTATTGAGATTTTCAATTACTGTTTCTATCTTTATTGAATTTTATTTTCAAATCCTAGATTTTCTTTGTCATTCTATCAGTTTTATGTTTGTGAGGGTTGGATTGGGCCTACAAGTTGGATATGGCTCAGGTGGACACCGGAGCCTGAGGTATATGCAAGATATGCATTTTAGTCCAAGCTTGTGGGGGCTGGGGAGGGTGGGAGGTGGGGAGCATCAGGAAAACTCACCCAGCTAGACCCTGGAGAAGATTGTGTAGGATGTGGCTGAAGGTTGGGGGTGGAAAGAAAGGCAGGGTGGATTGTGAAAGAATTCTAGAGTTTGGCAGTGACACAGGCAGAAGGGGCTGTACTAGGCCCAGGTGCTGGATGTGGGATCCAAACTAGATCTAGGCGGTTTGGGGATGGATGAGAGAGGAGGGTGGGAGAGTTACCTGGACAGACTTTGGAAGAGGATGCACAGGATCAGGTTGACGGAGAGGATCTGAGTTACATTTTTATGTAAGTTGGAGGTAAGAATTCAACTATAATCGTTTGCATGTGCAAAATCAGTTGTTTCCCATGCTGTTTGTTGGTTGGGGGAAATGTTATATATTTTGTGAGTATAGAGACCAGCACAGGGCTTCCCCTGTAGTCTATAAGCAGCAGGTGTAGCAGATGGCAGTATCTTCATGGCTGTGCTTCCTACACAGATGTTAGGAAGTCTGAGAAATTTCATCCTGAAAGCATGAAAATGGCTAAAGATGACAGCACAGCTTAGAACCTCCACTGGGGACCTTGAGTGATGGGAACTATGTGTGCTTTCCAGATCAACTCTTTGCAAACTTGGACAAGTTCCTGGGCCTGAAAGAACTGTGTGTGAGACTGCATGGCAAAGCAGATGTGCTTTCAGCCCTTTCTGGAGAGTTCCCAAACCCCCACCACATGGAGAAGTTATCCATCCAAACCTCCATGGAGTCTGACCTCTCTAGACTCGGTAAGGATGGTGCTTGAATTTCCAGCTCATGTCTCAGCTGGAAAAGCTACTTGGCTAGTAATTGTTAGAACTGTTAAATCATCATTAGTTAAACCTTCCCTGGGTTGACAGCGTGAACTGTGTCCATGGGAAGGTGTAGGAACAGCATCTTCCTCTTTTAGAGGGCAGAGATTTATTTGTTCCTGACTCTTTAACATGTGGGGAACTGTTCTCAGCCCTTCACAACCACTGTCTCAGTCTTCACAGCCCCTGTGTGAGAGAAGGTATGATGATTATTGCTGATTGTCAGCTGGGAAATGAGGTCAGCGATGGCTCAGGGCTAAGGAAATGTGTCTCCAAACAGAAGGTTTGACTGCACAGCCTGAGCTTTACACTCCTAACACTTCCTCTCCAAAGCAGTGTGTGGAGTCCTCTTCTTTTGCTGTCTGAGTGGCAAGTGCAAATCTGTCTATGGAGGGCGAAGGAATTTGACCGGGAGCAGTGTAGGTGTTGAAGCTCTAAAGGAAAAGGCTTCCCCTACAGGAGTTCTGCTCCAGCTGCCTGGAGAGTTTCCCCAGTGCAAGTGTAATAGCTCTGCTTCTGTGGGGGAGGTTTCCCCAGCAAAAGTTTTGCTCAGCCAAAAGGGTTTCAGTGTGCTCCAGAAGATATCCTGGCAGTCCAGAGCCAAGGAATACCACAAAGCCACACCACATAACAAACCTCGAACAAGAGATTTATTGGGAGGGAAAACCTGGGAGGGTGGTTGCTTCTTCTCAAGCAAGAAGCAGCAGAGAACTGGGTGGAACACAGAGTTTATGTAGGGTTGCATGGTGTGTGGTTGGAGCGGCAGAGCTTTCCAGGGAGGTCTAGGAGTGGAGGGATTCTGTGGCCTGATTGTTGGGACAAGATCAGGGATTAGGACAATTTTATTGCTTGTAGGCCTGGAGTCTTGTGGGTTTACAATGTACACAAAGTTTACAAAGGGAGTACAGGGCTTTTGAGTTGGCCCGAATAGCCAAGAAGCAGCTAGAGCCTTTTCTCCATTTCTCTTCATCCCAGCCTCCTGTTGACAGACAGCTGTGCAGCCATCTTTCTAGAACATGCTGTTTAGCAAAACGACAAAATAATATCAGATCCTTAATTTTTAAAGCACTGAACACTAAGGAGATGTAAGCTAGGAGCTGATATGGCAGATTTGCATGTCAAAAAGTCACTAGAGTATGGAGGCTCCTGTCTATAGCCCCAGCATTTGGAAGGCTTAGTTAGACAGGAAGACTATCACATCAAAGTAGGCCTCTCTCTGTAAATGTAGTTATTTCCAGGCTAGTCGGAGATACAATATGAGACCCTGTCTGAAAAGAAACAAAAGCAAGCAAACAAAACATTTTCCAAGTTGAAGGTAAATGTGCTTAAGTCAATCCTGTTGTCTTCAATCCCATAGATCTGTATGGTGAAAGGAAATATCGAGTTCTCCCAGTTTTCCCCTGACCTTCCAATATGTGCTTTGGCACATGTATGATCTCCACACACCACATACACATAGACAAAATAAACAGGTTTACATGTTTTTAAATTGTGTTTCAGAGTTGTTCTCTTTTTTTTTTGTTACTTTGCACAGAATTCCTATTGTGTCAGTAAACTGTGCAAACATAGAGACATTAGGATGCTGAGACTGGGGGTGAAATATAGTGAACAGAAATAGTTTTCTTTTTCAGTTCTCTGTTTCCAGAGGGGGTCAAGAACTTGCCCCGGGTCATCTGCTCACTAGTCAGTGGCAGAAACTGAGCATAACCCCAATGAATGTAGTCTGACTTCTAGATACTGTGCCACTGTGTCACAGAGGCACTGGGCCACTGAGTCACACTGTTAAATCAGTGTGGCTGGAACTGATGTTGAGGGCCCAATTCTGGTAGAAATTCATGGCCTTCTCTAATTTCTGAAATTCTTTCATCTTTTGCAGTTAAATTGATTCAGAACTCTCCAAATCTTCATGTCTTCCATCTGAAATGTAATTTCCTGTTGAATCGTGAGTCTCTCATGGCTGCGCTTGCTTCCTGCAAGAAACTCAGAGAGATTGAGTTTTCTGGACGATGCTTTGAAACCAGGCCATTTGGTAAGAACTGGACAACGTTGACTTCAGATGCTCCTGCGCATAGTCTTTCAATACTCCAGGATTAAAATGCAATGGTGTCGTGGGAACTGTGACCACGCCTGATCATCAGTGAGGCTTTCACAGCAGTGAAGTGCATCTGCCTGCAATTTAAACCTTTCATTTTCAGAGCCTAGTCTTCTACTTCGTCATAGTAATTCAACCTGAGTATTATATCACCTTTGTCACATTTGAAATACTCTTTATTTCAACAGTACTCTTCTTTGTCATAGGAAACGAGTCTGACCTAACTAAAATTTATTTTCCCTTTCTTAGTCACCGTCTTGCCAAATTTTGTTTCTCTGAAAATATTGAATCTTAAAGACCAACACTTTCCAGATAAGGAAATATCAGAAAAGTTTGGTAAGTTTGTAAAACATTGTTTCTTAATTTATTTTTCATCTTCTTCTCCTCTCTCTCCTCCTAGAGTGAATCCACAAACAAGCAGATGTGTATAGTTGTTCGTTGACATCCATGGCAGTTGGGTCTAAGGCCTGCTGCTGCTGTAAACACTAGAAGATCCTCTATGATATAAAATGGTGCCATGTTTGCCCATGACTCCACACATCCTCCATGTACTTTAACCCATCTCTCCATTGCCTACAACACCTATCGCCCTGTAAACAAATGTTATGCTGTGTTCTTCTGGGAATATTGAAGAGGGAGAAGAGTCTGTATGTGTTTGGTACAGACACAATGTTTAAAAACTCAGCCTGTGGCTTGTGGAATGTGCCCATACTTTAGCACACTGACTCATCTATCCAGTCTCCCCACAAAGCACACATGTACACACATGCGTACACATACACACACACACACACAGAGATGTTATCTCTACCTAAAAGAAACAAAAGGGATCAAGGAGAAACTCAGGCTCTCCTTATGCACAATAAATCTGAGAAGAACTGTGAAGATAAAGCTCTCTACCCTATATTGGCATTGTCTTGCTTTTTTTAAGAGTGTTTCCCATAAATGCTCATTGTTTGATGAGACTAGATCTCAGACTCAGCATAGAAATCTGAACACTTGCCTCCTCCTGACTGGGTCTTATGAGGCCTGAGGAGTGGCCTTTCCTTGGGCCTTTTTTGTTTACATTCATTGACTTATTTCAAGTCTGTGTTGGGTGGCTGTGCATGATCCACCAAAGTATGGGTCATGCATCAACCATGCTGGTCCTTTGGAGGACACCATAGTGATATTCAGTCTCACCTCTCCCATTCCCCCTCCTCAATGCTTGTCACTTGTTGATCTTCATTCATTAGTCCGGTGCTGTCCTTTGCCACACCTTTTGCATACTCCAAAAAGCTGAGAGGCCTTCTTTTTCAATAATTTCTAGGGGAAAAACACCCCCATAGTTTCTAAGAATGCCTTGCGTACAATCCTTTTAAAAATGACCTGGCTTACCACAATTAAAATATCTCACATTTTGATTGTTCTTAAGACTGTTAGAAATTACTTCTGCTATCAGAGTAGCATAATAAACATGAGATCCAATATCAGCCATATTTCTGGTCCTTTCATCTATTGGTGCCAATCCTGCTTAAAAGTACTGCTCACACTTTTGCATTCTGAATTAGCATTTTTTCCGTTTTGGTTTTTTGAGAAAGGATTTCTCTGTGTAGCCATGGCTATCTGGAACTCACTCTGCAGATCAGGCTGGCTTAATACTCATAGATCAACCTGCCTCAGTCTTCTGACTGCTAGGATTAGAGACATGTACCAACACCACCCATCTCTGAATTAGCATTTCAAAAGCCAAAAATTCAATCAAAATTTGTCTGATTTGTGAATCTGATACTATTTTATTAACAGCTGAAGTCAATCTTTGCAAAAGGGTCAGTATAGGCATATTTTTGGTCCTTGTAGATTTTAGTAAATGACTCCAACCTCTTTCCTGGTTCTTCAACTTTGTACTAAACATTTAAAGCTGCTAAGCAACATAGTGTCATGGTGTGATTATCATATTCAAGCTACTTTTGTAACTCATCATTTTGACCTTTACCTAGCAATGGATCCTGGGAAATATTGTTAATTCTAGTCTTATATCATTGTTCTATAGTCCTAGCTTCCTCTTTCTACCATGTTTGCCATTGTAACTGAGAACTGGCTTCCGATATTGCTGTTGCCAAAACTTTCCAGACAAAGGATAATTCTCTTCTAAGTTGCCAATAACTTTAATATTTACTTCACATAGGGTGAATGCATACCAAATAAAATGATTACTTCTTTCAATCTCAAATTCAATATGCCTGTAAGATTCCATTTAACTTTCTCAGAACATTGGGAGTGTCTATCATCTTTTGTATAGTCACTGTATAATCTAAGGTTGGTTTTCTAATAACCTTAAGCTGCCCCTCTTCTAAATGTCTGTTTTTGTCTGAGTGTTGTTCTCATTTTTATTTATAAGCATCTCTAATTTTTCTTCTAAGGCTTGTATCCTCTCAGTCCACTTTTGATATTTTTATCTTCCCTATATTTCTAGGTTTTCTTTTTTTCCTTTGAGAGGGTACAAAAATCTACTATGGCTATTAAGGATAAAATATTAATTGCTAGGCTGGTAGTAATTATAATCTGAATTATGTCAATCTCAGTTAAGTCATTTATCTTTTTTCATTTACTGCTGCTGTTTTAAAGCCATTTAAAGCAGGATTATGCAGGGTCCTAGCACCTTGTATTATGGTATTGTCTATCCTAACTTCTTGGAGAACTTCCAGGTGACTTACCAAATCTTATGGCTTCTCAGTTTGTCTGCACTGGCATAATTTCTCTGTCCATGTGGTTGTGGCATGTGTTGAAGCACTATATATGTGTGTATATATATATATATATATATATATATATATATATATATATATATATACATTTTAAACAAATTTCAATCTCTCAATTTCACCAATAAAGATGTAGGAGCAAGATGCTTAGGTAAAAAATTTTAAAAGTCTGCTGTATGAGAGAGGCAGAGAAAGCATCCAGCTGACCTTCCTCCTCAACCTATGTGACAATGGGAAACTCTCTTTCCCAACACCATCTCAAAAACCCCTCAAAACTCAATGTCTTCTACTTTCCATGTGTTTCTTTATCCATCCTTCTGACTTTCTCTTACTCTCTATTTTTTTTCTACATTCACTCCTTATCAAGTGGTGGCTTGCTCCACCTCTTGAACTTTTGTTGACTTTATTTAATCCTGTTCAAGCAAGTTCTTGGATTAAAGGTGTGTGCTAAGGCTGAGCTCCACCACAACTAGAAACAGGATATTTTGATAAACAACACAAGCTCGGGGTTCACAGTGTGATCAAGTACCCTGCAGCACTGACCCCTTTTCTCTTCTTCTTTGAGAGGGCAGTGATGAGGAGGGCCTCTGTTAGGTGGGGCTTCCTAAGTGCAGAATGTCTAGGTCACAGCTGCTCATAATGGAACAACTATAGAGGATGGTTTTGCTGTGTCTCCCACAGCACTGGCTCTGAGCTCTCTCAGGAACCTGGAGGAACTGCTTCTTCCCACTGGGGACGGGATTCACCAAGTGGCCAGACTGATTGTCCAGCAGTGTCTGCAGCTTCAGTGTCTCCGGGTTCTTGCCTTTCACCACACCTTGGATGACGACAGTGTGATGGAAATTGGTGAGCTTCCCTCAGAGAAAAGGTTTCCCCCTGTGTGCAAGCAGTGGTGCCCCTAGAGCTACCTGCTGCAAATGTCTAGACCTGAGAAAGGCTTCCAAAGCATTCCTCATTTGCACTATCATGCTGCTGCTTCTCATGCCCTTTCGAAAATTTAGATTTATCTTGGTATAAGTGGGAAGGTCAATGCTCTCCTTTTTTTTTTTTTAGAGGTGGTCAAGGTAGGGGGGTAAGGGAGGGGAGGTAGAGAAGTGTTCAGGTTGTGGTTTGTTTTCCCAGTGCTGGGGATTGAACTCAGTACTTCACATACACCAGATCAGTGTTCCGCTACTGCACCACACCCGGGTAAAATCTGTCTCCACACTTGTTGCTTCAGATACCTGGCCATATCCCCTTTTAGTCAACTGGATACTGGCAATATGTAAGCAAGTTGTAGCAAGTTGAAATATAGAGCTGCACCCATTTTCCTGTACATGTTACTGAAACATTTGTCATCTAAGTCAGTGTGGCAACGAACCAGATTAGGGCACAGAGCTTCACCAGTGCCAGAAAGAAAAGTTGTATCCATTCTCCAACAGTGCCCTCCACTTCCATACACAAATGACCATTGCACTGCTCTCTCTCACCGAAGCTTTATTTGCAACTAGACTTTTCATATAAGGGAATTCTATATGATAGGCAATGTTTTGTCTTTTTTCACCAAAAATTGTGTTTGTACCTTATTTCAGAATAATACATATGACCATAGTGCAATGATTTCACTGCTGTGCGTCTTTTCATTATTTGACCACATGTGCCCTCTGTGTGTCTATTCAATGGGCACTTGAGTTGTTTCTACTAGCTGGTTACTGTGAAGTAATGCTTCTAAAAGCATTCTCATAAAATATACATGTTTAGGTATTTCTGGGGATGGAATTTCTGACATACCTCACATATATTGATTGAACCATGTTTTTTTGCTTAAATGTGGCACATGATTGTAAGTCTACACTTGAGGAGGTTCAAGAGTTCCTTGTCTAAATAGCAAGTTCAAGGCCAGGTCGGGTCAAGGAGACTGAGCACAAACAAAGAAACAAGAGCAAAAATCTCCATGGTGTTGTGGTAGCTTTTACCCTCAACAGAGGCTGGTTCACATTCTGTCCCTGGTAAATATTGTCAATGCCTTGTAGTTTGGGTACTCTGATGATTCTCATGGGTAATAAAATCCAAAGCTTTACTGTTGTTATAAATAATTTTTTTACCAATAAATTTTACCAATAAAGACTCAGGAGCTAGATGCCAGGATGAAAACCTACTAGCTCAGAGAGGCAGAGAAAGGACCCAGCTGATCTTCCTTCTCAGCTCAGGTCTGGATGGAAAAAACCCAAAAGGCTTACTAGCTCAAGTGACAGCTCAGGTAGCAAAGGCCAAAAAACCCAAGGCTGAGGGCTTGCTAGTTCAAAGCCCCAAAGCCGTGGAGCAGAGGAGCTGAAGCCTAAGCTAAAGCCAGAGCTTGAGGTAATAGCTCTTTTCTATGTCTTCACACTGTCTTAAATACCCCTCAATGCAAAGTCCCTCCTATTCTTTAATCACTATGAGCTGGTTTATTGCTCTGCCTCTTGATCTAAGGTTAACTTTATTAAATTTGGTGTACAGAAAGCTCTTGAATTAAGGGTGTGTGCGAGGGCTGGGTGAACCACACCATAATCACCTGTTCACAATAAAAAGTTCTTGGACTAAAGGTGTGTGATAGGGCTTGTTATGCCCAATGGTAACTTTTGGGGAGTGGGGGTCAGGCCTGGTACTCTCAGCTCAAGCAAACCAGATAAGAAACAGGGTTTTACAGTTCACAATTATGGGTTCATTTATTTATTTATTTATTTTATTTTTTAATTTTAATTTTTCTTTTTAGTTACGATTTGTTAACTCTGTGTCCCAGCTGTATCCCGCTCCCTCATTCCTTTCCCCTCCTCAACTCCCTCCCTGGTCTCCTCCCTGCCCCTCTCCAAGTCCACTGATAGGTGAGGATCTCCTCCCCTTTCATTTGAACCTGTTTTATCAGGTATCTTCAAGGCTGGCTGCAAAGTCCTCCTCTGTGGCCTAACAGGACTGCTCCTCCCCTGGGGGGGGGAGAGGTCAAAGAGCCTGCCCTTGGGATCCTTTTAGAAATAGTTCTTGTTCCCCTTACTTTGGAAAACTACTTGGTTACTGAACTACCACGGGCCACATCCGAGCAGAAGTTCTATGTTATATCCATAGATGGTCCTTGGTTGAGTGTCAGTCTCAGAAAAGACTCTGTGCCCGGATATATTTGGTACTTGTAGAGCTCCTATCCTTTCCATATCATACTAACTCCCCTTCTTTCATATGATTCTCTGCACTCTGCCAAGGTTTGGTTATGAGTCTTACTGTCTGCTTTGAAACACTGCTAGGAAGAGTCTTTCAGATGCCTTAATTATGGGTTCATAATGGAATCAAATATCCTGCACCACTTTAGTTGAGGAGTTGAGGAATATCTTTCAGATTGACCAGCATCTGAAAGAAAGAAATGAGAGGAAAAAGAAATGGTTTACCTTTCTGAGATACACATCAGAAGTCAGATAGATCTCATTTGGCTCATGGATACTGCACGAGGGCTCAGAAATTCTGAGAAGAAAAACACATTATCTTAAGGTGAACCCATCTTTCTAAGGGTGGTCTCCTAGCCAGGTCCCTGACCTGCCCACATGATTAAACCTTAAAAGAGGAGCTAAGGGCATGATTCCATGTGAGATAGATTCCATTATTTACACCATAATTACTTCCAGAGGGTGTGTTTAAATCTCCAGGTGTGAAACTGGAGATGTACTCAGCAGTACTCATTTAGATTGTGTGAAGCCCTGAGGTCATGCCCAAGCACCACAAAAGTCAATCAGTCATTCAATCAATCAGTCAGTCAGTCATTCAATCTATTGATCTCTCCACCACCTTGTCTGCCTTCCTTATGGCTCTAGTTTTCTTTTATAGCTTCAAGCTAAGTGCAAAGCACATGTAGAGTCCTAAGATCTTTCAGGTAGATCGGTATTTTTGTTTCTTTGTTTTTTACCTGTCTTGGCACTTCCTCCTGGTTTCTGTTTCCTCTTTGCAGTTTGGCGAGGTCATTCCCTATCGGCCAGGCAGCTGTTTGGTGCTTTCAAAGAATGACCTCTAAAACATCATGTTGACCATTTCCTACTTTCATTGTTAGGGTTGGGAGTAGTACCAATAATGTGTCACCGTTATTGACAGCCTCATGATTCTCTTTTTTAAATGTTTTGTTTTCTAGCCAAGGTAGCAACCAGTGGAGGCTTCCAGAAACTTGAGAACTTAGATCTTTCAGTGAATCCCAAGATTACAGAGGAAGGATACAGACATTTCTTTCAAGCCCTCAACAACCTGCCAAACCTGCAAGAGCTGAACATCAGCAGGCATCTCTCAGAATGCATCCAAGTGCAGGCCACCACTGTCAAGGCTCTGAGCCAGTGTGTGATGAGACTGCCCAGCCTCATCTGGCTCGGGATGCTCAGCTGGCTCCTGGACGAAGAGGACATGAAAGTGATGAACGCTATGAAGGAAAGACACCCTCAGTGCAAACGCTTGACTATCTTCTGGAAATGGGTACTGCCATTCTCTCCTGTCATTCAGAGGTGAAGGATGCAGCTGAAGGCTACTGACAGTTTTAAATATCTGATTTCCTAAAACATTTTACTGTAGCTAAGCAAGGTGGTACTCCTCTGTACTTTCAGCATTTAGGAGACTGAAGTGGGAGAATCAAGAAGTTCAGACCAGTCTGTGTTACATAGCAAGATCTTGTCTTAACTGATCAGCCTGCTCTTTGATCACCTCCCATTGAGGGGAGAGCAGCCTTACCAGGCCACAGAAGAAGACAATGCAGCCACTCCTGATGAGACCTAATAGACTAGGATCAGAAGGAAGGAGAGGGGGACCTCCCCTAACAGTGGACTTGGGGAGGGGTATGTGTGAAGAAGGGGGAGGTGGGATTAGGCAGGGAGGAGGGAGGAGTTTGTGGGGGGATACAAAGTGAATAAACTGTAATTAATAAAAGTTAAAAAAATAAAGGCATAACTAACCATTATATGAAATAATATCTATTAAAGGTGTAGGCTGCTGATACTTTTCTAGAAGCCTGCCTGTTCCTCACTAAACTTAGCAGCATGATGAGCAGTGCCTTGGCAGTCCTTGTATGGTCCTCCTGTCTAAAGATTACAGCTTTCGTCAAGTTCATGTAGGGACCACTTCATTGCAAGGTCAACAGGAAGGGGCTAGGGAAAAGAACATCAGTCTATAAAAGCCAGAACATGGAAGGAGTATTTGATGGAGGTAAGAAACAGATGGTTTTAGTATTGAATCAGTCTCACACATGATGAAGCACGAGTCGACTTCACCACAGGATGCAGCTGACTTTCCAGGAGATGCTTAGTCTTTGCAGGGCTTTTGTGTGCTCACCAGCCTTGGTGTGGCCATGCTTGCTGTCATCTCTCATTCATTGCCAATGTGAGGGGGGAAATGGGCTTAGAGAAAACTGCTTTTGTTCCAGAGGCTTTTGAAAAGTTTGCATGTGCTGTAATGGCCTTAAGGTTTCCCTTGTTTTTCCATTTTGTTGTTTAGAGACAGGTTTTCACTAGGTAGTCTTTGATAGCCTGGAACTGAATATGTGGACTGGGCATACCTGTAACTCACAGAGATCTGCCTGCCTCTGCCTCCTGGGGGCTAGGATTGTTAAAATCATATTTGTAGAAACATTAAAGACTCAGGGATATATTAACTTGGCTTTGACAGTCATTTAGTATTCCATATGTATATAAAAATCTTACCTTGATACTTGTGTTGGCTTAATATAAATATATACTTCTAATTGGTCAATTTATACCTCAATAAATCTGGAGGAAATAGATTTCCAAACAGCTCTAAAATTTTATTAAATCTTTGGTTATATCTGTAAAGTTGAGTCAGAAAGTATTCTTACTTTCCATTCTACCCCTTTCTGTATTATTCTTTAACTTACAGTTCTCTGTGTTATTTTTATGTTTAAAATAAAGATTCAGGACCTTGAGAGATGTTAAGAACACTTGTTAAGAGATTGTTAAGAACACTTTTTACTTTTACATGTTTATTTACAAGACATTCTCTCTTTCTATTTCTCTTTCTGTTCTCCCTCTCTGTTTCTTTTGAGACAGGGTTTCTCTGTGTAGTCATGGCTGTTTTTAGACTCACTCTGTAGACCAAGCTTACCTCAAACTCAGAGACAGCCTGTCTCTATAGGATCAGACATGATCTTGTTTATTATCTGATTTGACATGTAATACTTTATTGTCAGAAATGCTTAAATGTTATTTCAGAATCCAGTGAGTAGACAGAAATGACAGGTCACTCTGTTCCGGTAGCAAGGTGTAGTTATGCTTGACAATAAGGTGGACTGGCAGTGCTTTCACTAAAGAAATGAAGAAATCAATAAATCTGTAATTACTAATCGCCTTTTGTACCTTATTCCACTTCAGTA